TGTTTATCAACTAAATCTCTAAAAAATTAGGAAAAAAATTCTAAAATTATTTTTTTAATAAATTTTCATTGAAAAAATGAAAATAATCCATTTTTAAAATAAAAATAAAATTATTTTAGTTCTTTTCTTCTAGTACTTTATTAAAATATAGTTATTTTAAGATATTTTTATTTTAATTTTTTATAAATCCAGCTTATAAATAATTTACTATAATATATAAATATATATAACACTCAATTATCAAAAGATAATACAAGTTTTGTTATAATTAAATAAAATATTTGAAAAGCCACGGGCCCAAACGCAGCCTCTACTTGCTTGCTTCTGGCTTAGTAGTTTCCTTCTTCATACACCCATGGCACGGTTGAGGTCATCCTTAGTTAGCAAATGGTGTTATTCCTTGAACACTCTCCTCCATCTCCACATCATGTCATTGTTGTGCATCGGTCACAATATCAAATAAAATAATAATTAGTAAATTTATTAAAAAAAATCGATAAGAAAACATCATTAAAATTTGTGTGAAAAGCTTACTTATTTTAAAACACGATTCACGCCTCTGTGAATAGTAGATCAATCGGTGCAACAGAGATATATATAATATGTCGCCCTTAAAATGCTACAGTTTTATAATGACACTTTACGAATCTACATTACTCATAAAGTCATCTTACTCAAAACAATCTTATTTACCCAAGAATATTTAAAAGATAAAGTAAGGTAAGAAAAATAAAAGAATGTGAAGGAACACACTTTTTTTAGCAAATAGACATATCATATTTATAGAACTTATGATCATGTAACTCTCATTTATAGGTTAATGATAGGAATAAATTGGGCACTTATTATGAAATAATATGCTCTTAAGTAGGACAATTAACCTATAACGGTTAATTTGACAAAATTTTTAATAGGATAATAAATTCAATTTATAAAATATATTATTTTACTTTTTATTAAAATATTTAGGTTCCAACAATTCCCTTGCTATTTTAATAAAAAATAAACATTTCTTTTGGGCAAAGATGGATTATCATGCATAATAAAGGTAGTTAAGCCTTGAAACTTTACTTAGTGAATCAATGATTCTTAATCCAAAGTCAATAGTGAATTAAGTCTTGAATTATGACTTCATTGGAAGATACAAGAATCATATCACATAGATAATGATCCAAATGTTGAGTTTTTCACATAACTAGTGCGTTATGGCCTTGCACATGATCCTGGTTTTCATGGGTGATCTAAAAATTGCTCATCTAATTTTCATAGAAGCAACCTCACTTCGGCACCCACATAGGTGAAATTTGTCAAGGGTGCTCCCATAACTAAAACATCCCACTGATTAAGCTACAAATTTCATTAAAAATATATAACTCAACCCTCAATTCATTATGAGATAGATGCATCCTAACCTTAGGAATAGAATTGAAAATTTTTTCCATAAAATATTGATGCATCTTTTAACAAAGACTTCTCTATAATTTGTTTTTCCCATTCAAAACCCAATTCTCTGAATTTGGGTTGGGTATCCTTATAGGGAGTTCTACATTATTGGGCTCGAATTCAATTTCTCTCGATGAGCACTAGACCTTGGACTATAATCATAGATTTTCCTCCAACTTTTCTTTTTGCCAAAAGCCTAGTTGATGGTATAATGGGTAACAAAGAGATTTAATTCATTCTTTTTTCTCACTTTATCACATCAACCCACATGTCTGCTAACTCATAAAGTTCACATTCATATTTCCCAAATTCTTAATTCATGGTACCACAATTTTGATATCAAATCGAGCTAGCGAACCACCATTTTCTTTTAATATGCATGTAGAGACATGTAATTAAGAATTTTTAACTTAGACACCATTGTACCTTGTTGTACAATAGGAATGTTCATGATAGCATATCCTTCTTTCAAGTGCCTTATTAAGCACAATAGGAATGTTCATACACCATTATCCTATTATTGTACAATAGGAGTGTATATCATATTTGCTTTATTAAGCACCATTATACCTTATTGTATAATAGGAATACTTTACAAAATTTCAATTAGCCACCATTGGTCTCATCACCAATAACAATATAAATGGAAATCATAATCCCCACATAGAGAGCATCTCAAATATGTAATTTTCATATTTTTCAAATAATTGAGTTCATGAAGAAACTCATTTTCTCACAAAATTTCATAAGAGCATATTAGCTCATCTCACATATTATTGCCCAATATGACTCCTCAATCGGTCACGCAAACTTGAAAAATTAGCTTACATTTCCGGAATATATCAACCCAAATTTTCTATCTATTATTACCAAAATAATTACATGGACCAAATTGGATAGCTCTCTTCTTTAGTATTTTTCCACTTTGGTTCTCAAAACTTTCACATGTTACATCAAAAAACTTAATAATATGATCAATTAAATTCACAAATTTATTCATAATTTTTTTTCCTTCATAACTATTAGAAATAAACCAAATATTTACCATATGCATTAAAAGCAAACAACTAACTCATTAATCCCATAAACATAGCTGTTAGCATTTGGTAGTTTTTTATTATAATTATTACAAATGAAGCAGCTAATAATAATCATGGTATGAAACGGCCATCACATAGGATTGCTAAAATACACAAGAATTACATATTCTTATGGTTATGGTTCAGTCAAGCCATATTATAATCAAATGCTGTAGTGTCTTTAACAAAAAGATCACGTATTAAAACATAACAATCATACATGTAGGCAATGAAATTGAGAAGCACAAATAATTCCGCCACAACAAAAACTAGGCCGCAAATTCTCTAATATGTGTTTACATGGAAGAGGGCTTAGAATATTTGGTGAATCAAAGCATAGTTAAATGTATAGATAAGGTAATGAGACACACTATACGTACCCATTTGTGATCTCAATGTCTCTCAAGTATGATTAATCTCAAAAAAACATACCTTAGGTTCCAAGGAGAGTTAGACAAACAAAATATATTTATTTTCCATACATAGGCACAAAATTGAATCACCTTAAAATTGTTGTTCCTCTAACACTCTTCTCTATCTCCACATCATGTCATTGTTGTGCCCCGGTTACAAGATCAAATAAAATAATAATTAGTGAATTTATTAAGAAATATCAATAAGAAAATATCATCGAAATAAGCGTGAAAAACTTACTTACTTTAACGCGATTCACATCTAAGTTTTTACGCCTCTGTGGAGAGTAAATTAATCAGTGCAGCAAAGATATATATAGCATGTCACCCCCAAGATACTGTAGCTTTATAATGACGCTTTATGGATCTGCAATACCCATAAAATTACCTTATTCAAAATACCTCTCTTTGCTTAAGAATATTTAAAAGATAAAGTAAGGTAAGAAAAATAAAAGAATGTGAAGGAACACACTTTTTTGAACAAATAGACATGTTTTACTTATAGGACTTATGGTTATATAATTCTCATTTATAAGTTAATGATAGAATAAATTAAGCAATTGTTATGAAATAATGTGCCTTTAAGTAAGACAATTAATATATAACGTTAATTTGACAAAATTTTTAATATGACAATAAATTTAATTTATAAAATATATTATTTTATTTTTATTAAAATATTTAAGTTCCAATAAATGGAGGTGGTAAGTGATTGATTTCTGGTAAGATGTCGACCAGTTCTTGGAATATAGACAGTGAAATTTTGTACGGGAATCTAGTGAACAAGCGATCTACAATTAATATTGGCATGCATGAGTTGCATATACAATTATACATTACATTACTTTTGACGCTCTGAATCTTATATCAGGATTAAATAAAATAATACATGAATTACAATGATATGGCCTAAAGAGAGCCCATTAATCGTAGATGCTCTTAGTCTAATGGTAGGCTCGGTGTGGGTTGTTTTAGTTCACACTCACAGGTGAACTGATCCTAATAGTCAAGTAGTAGTAGTTCCTTTTGTACTTATCCACATGGTGTTGCACCTCATGCATGGTATCCGCGCCTTCCTTCTTGACTTCAATGTTTCAAAAGTCAAGTCACAACCAAACTACCTTAATTGTTTATTAATAATTTATTTCTTATATAAATAAAATATTTTTAATTTAAATTATATGCATATAAGTATAATAGATTATAAAATACAAGAGTGTTCTCCATTGGACAACCAAAATTAAAGAAAAAAAAAAAGAGCCACTAAACTCGACGTCCATATGTTAACCTTGAATTACAAATTCAATAAAGTACCAATTTTTTCGAAAGAGTCGAAGTCAAACATGCACTTTAACATTGGACTACACGTTCAATGAAAACTTGGTAAAAAAGAAAAAATGATTGTATATTACAATATTATAGGCTATTG